AGTGATGTCCAATGGTCGGTCAACCCCCCACTCCACCTGTCTGCCGTCTCTCTCTCACGCGCTAGCCGGCCGCTAGCTCCGTCCCTCTCGCTCGCCCGATGGGCACCCATCGGCGCCGAGCGACCGACCATTGAACACCACTAGGTAGCACCATGGGCTTGGATATCATGTTTGTCTGTATCTCTCACTGTTTTGGCGCTAGAGGAAGTTACTTTGAAATGAGTGGCCGAAAAGGAAATGTTTTTCAAAAGAAGACGGCTTTTTCAATGCTTTAAAAGAACAACAGACTTATCTGACTTTTTGCCAGAAAGAGGAAAAACACCTTAGAAGTTGCCTTAGAAGCACTGTCCTCATTCTTACTTGTGACCAGAATGTGGCGGTTAATTCAAATATAGAAAATTGACTTTAATATTCCAAAATTACTGAAAATATATGTTTAAAAACGAGATAAAGGCCTTATTTCTTGTCAAACTCTTAGAACTCAGAAACTTAATGAACAACACTACCTTTTGAGCGGAGTATGTAATATGACAGGTGATGTCTTAGCTTCGCCATACATTTAAATAATATCATCTAAAACAAGCAAAAACCATAGGCTGTACAGGACACCAATAGATATCAAGCAACCTAACGCATCAGAGATTTTAGTTTTTTTCTTGATAGTTAACTTAAAATAGTGACTCATGCACTCATTATCACATAAATTAAAGCTGGTGAGTGTAATGAACAATTTAAAAACACAATAGTCAAGAAACATACTGTAAAACCTAAAAATGAAATAATAATAGTTTCAAAGAGAAGAAGGAGGCCAAATATATTTCATGACCATTAAAAGTTGATGTGGGAAATCTCTAAATTTACCATTTTAACAGCATCTACAACCCTTGTGGAACAGAAAGACTGCCAAGGACTGGCAGCAGGACGCTGAATTATCATACCAGAACAGATATAAAACAACAACACCAAAAGAAATTTAAGTACCAAAAATAATATTTTTTATTGTCCAAACTACTTTGCATATATAATAACTGAGAAACTTAATTAACACCAGATAGTGAAATTTACAAACAAAATATGCAGTTACTGGCATTGGTTGTTTCAGCAATGTATTCAATGCTCCTGAAGTAGAGCAGCTCATAGTGGATTCCTTTTTCACATAATCTCTTTATGATGTATTGTTGTGGTTCCGAATCTGGCTGTGCAGTTGTCTGAAAATCAAAAGTAGAAATTGTGATTTCTTTCAAAATGGTAAAGCAGACTAGTGGTATTAATGGGTGGTTTATATGAATTCTTGTGACTGCTAATGAATTAAAAATATTAATGACTTGTAGGCAGAAAGTTTACCTTGACAAGTAGCTCGGTGAATTTTTTCTATTTCATTAAACATGCCTACCTTAGCATCATTTAAACAATATTGCAATTTTAAAGTTCGTATGATATGAACTTGGCATAAAAAGCAAGCACAAAAAGCCCACAACAAAAATTCAAATAAGGAAAATCAGTTTATCCATGGTGAAATACATACCTCTACCTTGTAGTCATTGTCAAAAGAACCGTGCTGGTACATCTCATAATCAGATTTTGGTATTTGAGTTTGTTGAAAATGAATGTCATCAGGTAAATCTTCAGTGGCGGGAGTAGAATCCATGTCAAATTAGCCAATATGCCGAAAAGCGGTGTATTCTTACTATGGAAAGATATTTTGAATCTTTTCGGCGATGGGAGCCATTGGGGCCCAATGAAAGAGGATTATACAGAATATGCCACGTCAAAACAGACAAGAATTGTATTGACATCATATTTTGTTTGCAGACGGAACAAATCAAACTAGTCCCGTACCAAGATTCATCTCCATCTGCTGATGAAGAAGAGATTACGTCCTACCAGCCTCCACGGGCGGCTTCAGAGGTAATGACTTTCGCCTTAACCACAGGGTCATTTAGTCAGAAAACTGTAGCTACAATGGAAATTATTCTCTATATGCAGGATCAACAGCCAACTGTACAAGACGAGGCGGCCTTGAGTCAG